CATTGTTCATGAATTCCTCTTGACCAACCARTRCAATGAGKAAGGCTCYAGATTYATGRATTTTCTTTATTKGATTACAGCACTCTGTGCACGAGCTCCAGGATATGTTTTCAGATGAAAGTGAATGGAATTTAGCAGGTAAAGCATGGTTTCAAATTCAATTYAGGTCTTGATATCTTGGGAGGGAATAATATTATCAATGTATCATATTACTTTTGATATTTTAGATGTAAATTATCTTCTTGGAATTCTGAATCAAAAGAAACAAAGACTCGAAGCAGTAAGAAATACTATCACCTTAATGAAAAAACTTTTATTTTATTCTTTTTCCCTCCAGTTTTATTTTTTCACTACCCAATTTAAATCTCACATTTGCCCTTCTTATTGTTATCTTCATTTTTCATTCATTTTTACATTTTACATTCATTTGTTTTTTTTCCTTCTGTCTTTTCCTCTCTAATTCATTTCCTACTTTTCCTCCTTCCTTGTTTCCTTCTCTTTTTCATTTTTCTTATTTCCATCCATTTCTATCCATCTCTTTCTTTCTCCTTGCCTTCTATCTCTTTCATTCATTATCTATTCCCCTCATTTATTCATTCCTTCTCCTTTCCCATTTTCCACATAGTCTTTGGAGATTCATAATTGCCTTAAGATCTGATAAAATGATTGAAATCTTTTACAATAGGATAGCAATGCTGCCCAAAATGAACTTCTYTACAATTTCTTAATTCAAGTCAAGCGTCATAAGCAAGAAGTATGTAATATTGTTTTTTACACTGTTTGCGTCTAAAAATATAGATAACAAGATAAAATTAATAAATAATCTTTTGCTGCTGCAGCATTTCCACCTTATTAGTGTTCTTCATTGCTGACACTCATCACTTACATGTACTCACTGAACTTCTGTCTGTTCTAATTTAGCAACTTGATCAGTTAACACAAGAAATCAAACTCATAGATGAAGATATGCACAAAGTCAAGGTAAACAACCTTCTTTACATGCTATAGCATAGATATTCATTTTAAGTATTTTTGGTTGTATGGTTTGTTACAGGGAATGATTGATGACCATGAACGCAACTACCTGATGTTACCTGGTTTATCAAACTCTGACAAGTTTTTGCTTGGAGAAGTGGTAAGCTGTCTTGAATACATTTTCATGTCTTTACATGTTTGATTCATGCATCAGGAGATTAGAAAAATCTTGAAAAGTGGGACTCGAATCGCTAAATTATAACGGTTAATGAAATTAAAATGTTCTAATAATGTCAAGTTAATGTTTTCTGAGGTACAACATAGTGATTCGTGTCTCATTTTTTAAGATGGCGGACACGTTGTTCTCAAAACTCCTGATGCATATGCGAAATTTCACGCTTACTGAGTCTGCACTCTATTTCATTCATTTAATCATTCAGTTGATAATTTTTTTCAATGATTTCAGGACCATGCTGTACCAACTACACCAACAGCCAAAAATGCACCTATTGCTGTTGGTGCTGATGTGGATCAAGCCACTAGGTAGAATACTATTTCATTTTCAAATACTAATCACACCTCATCATTCATTCTTTCRTTGTTCATTATAGTTTTGTCTATCTTGCATCTGATTAAAATCTATCCACTAGATGTTTTTGATAATGGAGTTTCTATAGCACTTCAGATGCAGTTGATGGTGTATAGCCCACATTATTTGACTGTAATGACTGAACAAAAACATTTCTTCCAGCTCTGTTGAATTATCTGTTCCTGAGAAAACATCTGAAGATACTCCTCAAGATGGTTTTAATGGCAGTCAACATGTAAGTACAGCCTGCTGCCATGGTTTCAGAGTATCAAGAAGATGAGACACTTTGCAAGACGCTTTGATATTTGGGAAAAGCTAATAATTATTGCCTTCATGTGAATTATTAAGCATCATCTACTGCACCTTGTCTTGAGGCCTTTAAAGTGTAAAAAATGAAGCAAACTTTGGCAGTCAGCTATTCAGCCCTAACATTAACCCATAATCTTTTTGACCTTGACATAGAAAACTGAAAGAGAATGTTTTCATCTTATAGGGTGCAAAGACATTATGGTGTAGTACAAGTTTAGCTGCAAGAAGAAAAAGAATCCACCAACACTTTGATGATCTTGAGAAGTGTTAYTTTGCRATGAGACAAGGCGATATATCAAGTAATGGTTTTCTTGYGATGATTTAACTATTAAATTTTCCCACTTATTTGCATTTTTATTGACAGCAAGCGACAAGTCACATGATGCTCTGGAGCAGTTCACAGAAAGTCTTGCTAAGTTTACTAAGTTCAGTGGTTTTCGACCTTTGGCAACATTGAGTTATGCCAGTGATATTTACAATGGCTCTAGCATTGTATCAAGGTAATTATTGATATGT